ATTTAAGGCTGGTTGTTTTGGTGAAGAAGATTATCTTTTTCTTCGCTATCGCTCGCCTTGTGAAGGCTGGCTCTATCGTTTGTATCATATATCATATATCATATACATTTCTTTTTGTTTCGAAAAATATAAAATAAATAATTAAAAAAAAAAGTTAAATAGCTGCATTTAGCATATAGTATTATCATACATACGTAAGTGATCTGAAGTATGTCTGCGAATCGTTCAATGCATGCCAGGAGTTGGACAAAGCTGACTTTGACTGAGTTGAAGAACTTGTGTGCAGCTTGTGGCCTCTCCGTAGAGGGTAATAAAGAAGAGCTAGGTGAAAGACTACACTCTTATTTTGACAAGAGAAAAGATAAAGGGCCGAAGGCGCAGTTGAAGGGGAGTAATAGAGGACAAGAACCAGGGCCCAAGAATGCTGATGATAGGACAGGAGAAGTAGTAGATGTGGACTTGAATGAAGATTGAGGTGGTGAGTTTGAGGATGATTTAGATGAAGACTCCCAGGAAGCAGATAATAGGATTAGAGAGGAATTTGCAGCATGTTTTAAAGAAAAAGAGAAAGTAAAGTCAGTTCCTGTTAACATTTTTCTGTCTGCTTTAAGTAGTATTAAAAGAAAGATGAATAGAAATTTCTCTGCATTGTATAGGGAGATTGAAGATAGAGATGGGTTAGATGAAGCTTGGCTGAAAGTTAAATTATCAAGATCACGTGACCAGCATGAGTATGATTTTTTGGCAAAGATTAGTAGACACTTGGATAAGGAAATCAGGATGTTGCTAGAGTTTAATAGGAAGAAATTTGTTGGTGTGTGTAAGGAAGTTGAGTCAAGGGCTGTTACTCTGAGATTAGCAGATAACAGAGGATGGGGTATTGCGTTGCAGATTGTAGAAAGTAATGATAAGATGATGGAGAAGTATAAACACCGTATACCTTTATTTAGCCAGGCAGAGCAATCTTCATGCTTATATGAATGGAGAAAAAAAGCTCGAAAGTATTAGCACAAAAGAGAAAGAGCATCACCTACTTCATCTGATTCAGAAAGGGATTATTACTTATAGCATTAGGATTGGTGGTGCAACAGCAGCAATGAAAGCATGTTTATCATTAACACAAATACAAACTATAGATGGTTGGGATAGTAAGGCAGTTATGTTATATTTGAGGTTTGTTGGAACAGCAAAGTTGCAGTTTTCTAGGAAAATAGGATTTGCTAATTAGCGATCCTCTTCTATTCTCATATGTTTTTCAGCTTTGTTAAATAAAATTGTTCTGTTGTTTAAATAAAGTCATCTGATTGAGCAATAATAATAAAAAGCCTGTCAATGAAGTGACAAGGTGATCATTATTGTGAAATCAGATGACTTTATAACTAGTCAAATTACAGGTCTTTATGTATCTTTTTGTATTTATTTTTGACTATTGTTGTAACATGTTTTTTTGTTATGGCTTATTGTTAGGATAGCCAAATGAGATATTTAAGGCTAGTTGTTTTGGTGAAGAAGATTATCTATTTCTTTGCTATTGCTCGCCTTGTAAAGGCTGGCTCTATCACCCACCCAAGTCAAGCAAAAAGAACTATTGTTATACCAGGCTTCATGGCTGTATAAGCAATGCAAAGACCTGATGTTTTTGGCTCCACGGTTGCAGTGGCAATGCAAGGACCAATTTTGTATTTGGCTCCGTGGCCACAGATTGCAGTGCAAGAACCTGATGTTTTTGGCTCCATGGCTATAGTGGCAGTACAAGGACCAATTTTGTATTTGGCTCTGTGGCCACAGATTACTGTGCAAGGACCTGATGTTTTTGGCTTCACAGCTACAGTAGCAGTACAAGGACCAATTTTGTATTTGGCTCTGTGGCCACAGATTGCAGTACAAGGACCAGTTTGCATATGGCTCTGCGGCTGCAAATGCAGTGCAATGATTATAATAAAAAAACTTCGCTTATGTTAATATAAACATATATACCGATTCTCTTTGCAGCTATGAGAAGATTTGATGATTTTCTCAATAGGAGGTATTTTGATTGGTGTATTGGTGTTTGGGCTTCCTTTATTTGTGGGCAGGCAGGGCATTAGTTGTGTCCTTTTCTCCTGCTGTTTTGATATATCTATGTCTTTGTAGTTGTGAATTTGTTTATATATATTAGAGCCACAAAAAGTAGCAAACTCCTATTCCTATATGTTTTTCAGCTTTGTTAAATAAAATTGTTCAGTTGTTTAAATAAAGTCATCTAATCGAGCAATAATAATTAGTGGATATGTTTAGCCAATCAGATAATAAATACTTACAGTATATATATCAATAACATTATCAGTTTAGAAAAACTGGTTATAAAAATAATGAACCAGTTTATGATGAAGTATTTATTTATCAGCATTATACACACTTTAATATAGGTGGTCTTACAAAAAAAATAGCAGATACTCTTGTGATAATTGAGTTAGTTTATACTTTTACTGTAAATCCCAACTGGCTAGAATACAACAACAACTACATACTAGACAAAATTATACTGACTGACTAGATATTGTAATGTGAGTATTTAAACAACATTTAATTTATAAAAATACCTATTTTCACTATAGTAATTTGCTATTTTCATTATAATTATACAAGATTTTCTATTTTTAGTATTTATATAGTAAAAATTAGTTTTTTAAAAATATAAAAAATAAAAAAATAAATTTAAAACTTAACAGCCATGATTGATTAATAATAATTCTTAGATCATATTTTAGAAATTTCCAAAATCAATTAATGATCTATTTCTATAAAGGATGCAATTAGCACTGTTTATTTATAGTACATTTCCAGACTATAATACTTATATTCATGTTTTTAACTCTAAATATCTTGAGATTTACCAGATTGATTTAAAAATCTAAAACCAAAAGAAAGATTAACTTATTAAAAAGTTTTTTAATTTTACTATTTATATTAATTATAAAATTAAGAATTTAACTATATACTATATATAATACTATAAAACAATATAAAAATCTAGTGCTAATTACTATAAAACTACTAATATTAAGCTTTTGCACTATGTTTTAAATCTACCAAACTCTTTGTTCTATAATACTATATCCTGAATTTACCTAAATCTTATACAGTCTTATACTATATATATTTATTCTAAACTCTAAGAATCTATCTAATCATTATATTATATTTATTCTAATTACTAGGTAAATGAAAACTATTCAAAGTTCAAAGAACCAAATATAAATTTTAAATTTAATTTATACTATATTATATATAAATTTATACAGTATTTAAAATCATTTGTGTTTGCAATAAAACCTTCAAATTTAATAAAAATCAGCTTTTTTTTCTTTTTATAAGTTACATTACCAGCCAGTGTTGGCAAATAGAACAATAGAATAAAAGCTTGATTTTTTGTCTCTATATAAAAAAAATTTTTTTTATTAATAATTTGCAATAATTAAAAACATATTGTTAGACCATTAGTAAAATAATAAATTTAAAATATTTTTGAATTTAATTAGTAAAATTTAATACTGAAAATTTACAATAGAAAAATGAAAAAAGTGAATAGAATTAGGAGCCAATAGAACAAACATAGTAAACGTGACAACCCTGATTACAGCTGATCTAATCAATAAGCATTGGGTGATAAATTTAATTATAATAATAAACATGTTAGTTTGTTTTTTATATTATGCATGATCTAGCCAATAAACATTAGTTTTGGTTATTTTTTTAAAATATTTTATATTATACCTGATTTAGCCAATTAGGTTTCAGAATTTGTTAATACACAGGCATCGGGTATACTATTGCTTTATCCTGTAGTGTTCTTTGAACAATTATACTATATTAATATTTTAAGTTTATCTTAACTATTGTACTAGATTTTAATTATTATACAATGTATATCAATAAAATATACTATGTTTGTTACAATTGCATGCTATAATCATCCCAATTATTGTACTATATTTATTTCTAACTATTATACTATGTTATTTTTAAATTTGTCTAAATATTATATTATGTTTATTTCACTATTATACTATGTTTATTTTAACTATTATGCCATGTTCATTCTAATTACAATGCTATATTTATCTTATCTAATTTTTACTTTCAACTATTATACTATATTCATTCTAATTATCATATTATGTTTGTTCCAACTGTTATATTATACTAGAATATGTATATGCTTTACTATATGAGAATTATTATATATAGTATTATAAAATAATAATAATATATATATTTTTCTTGTTATATTAATTGTAGAAAAATTTGTAAGTAAAAATTTATATTATATCTAATACTTGAGATTCAAGTATGCAAATTAAAATAAATTGTTTATTGTAAAATATAGTTTATAAAAGGTTTAATTGTATATTGTAAAATATAGTTTATAAAAGGTTTAATTGTATATATACACTCAAATTTCAGATATTGGTAACTCTATAAAAAGTTTTTGTATAGAAAATATACTGAATTTATATTGGATATACTGAAAATATACTGAATTTATACCAAAATGTTGCAAAAACTCAACGTTTTAGATCAATTTAAAACATTGAGTTTTTGTTGAGTTTTGCAATATTTTGGTATAAATTTAGTATAAATTCAGTATATTCAATATAAATTTAGTATATATGTATTTTTTTTTAAATCTTTGACAGTCTTGCCAGTACTCAATTTATTGAGACTATATTTTAGGTGAGAGCTAAGCTCTCTCAAACAATACATATATCATTCATAACCAAAAAACAAGGAGAGAGTCTTGCGATTGCGAGCCTGATATCACCCGGCTGCGATAAACGTGCCCAACTGCAACTTGTCGCACCAACCTGTATACAAGTTAGATAAACTTTGTCAGCCCATCAAAGCTTT